CAGCTTTTTCTCAAGTTGGGACAGTCCCAGAGCAATGTCAGAATGGATCCCAGTCTTACTTCTTAAGGTAAAGGCTGTCAGTGGCATCTTTGAAACCTCACCTTCCCTTCTTCGATTGAAAATAATGACCTCACAAAGAGTCAAAACTGCCAGTTTAGACCAATGCTTAGACGTTGGCTCACTTATTAGGGTTTGTACATATTCAGGTCGACATACCTCAATATGTGCATGCATGGCTCTAACGTCCTCAGTCAGAGGGAGCAGGTCCGGAGTGTTCCACTTGGCTTGCCGGAGGGTTTGTAGGGCAGCAGAAGAAACACAGACGTCCCACCTCTTCTCAAAAAGCAGCCGGCTCCGTTGGAGGTTTTTAATAAATAGTTCATCAACACAATGCTCCATTTTTGAGTCACATTCAAGATTATCTGCTTTCTGAGGCTATGGCCGAGTTTGAGGGCCAAGGATGGAGTCTTGTATTGATTTGTTTCCTCATCATATCCAGCCACAGACCTGACTGCATCAATCACATGGTTAAAGTTGGAAGGAATAAAGAAATCCTTAATTTTTTTCAGTTTCCCTGCAGTTTTTGCTTCGTTAATTAACCTACCGACTTCTCTCATTTTCTGCCTAATGTAATCATGCTTAGTCTTATCATGCCCGTGTTTTAAGTACAGGTGCTCTCCGAGTCTCAGAATCCCCTTTTCTGCTTTGACAACACCCGTGACCTCATCCTGATGCATTGCCGAAATTAAAGACCACAGCTTTTTGCTGATGCCCTCCGGTACAGGCTGGGCTAGGGAGCAGAGGGACTGGACCCTACTTCTACCTGGTTTAGCCTGGGCATCTTTCTGTGAAAGCCGGCACCTGGCCACATGCCTCCACAGCGACTTTCGCTTAAGCAATGCCCCACAGTCTATACAGTGCAAAAACTCACTGGATTTAACTGGGCAATTTGGCTGTTTAGCTGGGACTAAAGTTCCAATGCCGGCCTTTAAAACCTCAAAATTGTGCTCACGGTTTCCACTATTCCTGATCAAATCAAACTGAAGTTTACGTGCTTTAGATTTCACAGGTAGAGCCAATGCTCTGGCTACGTCACTTTCATTTCCATGTTTTCTAGTCAAATGACGGGACATTTTGTGGCAGGACATTGAACAGTAGAGGCAGAAGTGTCTCTTGCTGTAAACTCGCCCCCCATTTTTCTTCTTTTGCAGCTGCATGATAACAATCTTATTTGCCTTTGGTTCGTCACTTTCCGAGTCTTGAAGAAAAGTGTTTTTGATTTTTCTTTTTCCATACTTTTTTACAGGTTTCTTGTTGACAGTTAAATCGTCAGAATCTGAGTCGACTTCATCAATTAGGGACTCTTGACTAAGCTGCACAAACAACAAATAATTTGTAATCATTCTATATAACAATTTGAAGTCATGACTTGTAGTCAGCACTTACCAGTGGTTTGTAAGCGTGCGCTTCAGTGTGCTGCTCTGTGATTTCTTGCAGCCTAATGAACCACACACTTGCACCTTTTTCTAGCCTGACACCTGATTTCCTCTGTTGTGCTGCTCCATGATTGGCTCCAGCCTGCTGGACTGAAATTGCCCCAGTGTGCCCCTCCTTGATATCCCGCAACCCACCACCAGGGTTCCGACACATAACACACTTTTTTCAGGAAAGTAAACCTCCAGGGGTCCTTTCCATATTTTTACAGAGACTGCATTAGGACCGTTAGAAAAGCATTACCCATTGATTATTAAGCTTGGACCAGTGGGGTCCGGTGTTCGGGCCCCACCACGTAAAACCAGTCCCCATGACGTGAGTGGAATCTCAGGTTATGGAACCCACCAGGAGTTGAAAACAAGTGCACACACACACACACACACACACACACACACACACACACACACACACACACACACACACACAGACACACACACACACACACACAGACACACACACACACACACACACACACACACACACACACACACACACACACACACACACACAGACACACTCACCCACACACACACACACACTGACAGTGTCTCCTGTTCCAGGGCCTTACAGTCTGAGGCTGGAGGGAGGAGCCAGTCGCTGTCAGGGGGAGGTGCAGCTGCAGAGACCAGGTCTGGACTGGACTCCACTGGATCCATACTATTCTGACTCTGTTCCTCTGGAGTTTGGATCCAGAGTCTGCTCTGAGCTGGACTGTGGCTCTGCTCTGTCTCTGGAGACAAAAACAGTTCAAGAACGAAAAGCTGTGAAAGTCAAAGGAGACTGTGATGAACCTGAACTGATCGACTGTTTTGATAAACAAACATCTGACTCTGATCGAAGTCTTCATCTCAACTGCTCAGGTCAGACACACTCACCTTTTCACACCAACATTTATCACTTCACCATCATCAGAAGGAGGCGCAGCTTTGACACTGAGTCAGAAGGAGGCGCAGGTTTGACACTGAGTCAGAAGGAGGCGCAGGTTTGACACTGAGTCAGAAGGAGGTGCAGCTTTGACACTGAGTCAGAAGGAGGCACAGCTTTGACACTGAGTCAGAAGGAGGCGCAGGTTTGACACTGAGTCAGAAGGAGGCGCAGGTTTGACACTGAGTCAGAAGGAGGTGCAGCTTTGACACTGAGTCAGAAGGAGGCGCAGGTTTGACACTGAGTCAGAAGGAGGCGCAGGTTTCACACTGAGTCAGAAGGAGGCGCAGGTTTGACAGAGTGAGAAGGAGGCGCAGGTTTGACAGTGAGTCAAAAGGAGGCGCAGGTTTGACGGTCAGTCAGAAGGAGGCGCAGGTTTGACAGTGAGTCAGAAGGAGGAGCAGGTTTGACATTGAGTCAGAAGGAGGCGCAGGTTTGACACTCAGTCAGAAGGAGGCGCAGGTTTGACAGTGAGTCAGAAGGAGGAGCAGGTTTGACAGTGAGTCAGAAGGAGGCGCAGGTTTGACACTCAGTCAGAAGGAGGCACAGCTTTGACACTGAGTCAGAAGGAGGCGCAGGTTTGACGGTCAGTCAGAAGGAGGCGCAGGTTTGACACTGAGTCAGAAGGAGGCGCAGGTTTGACAGTGAGTCAGAAGGAGGAACAGGTTTGACACTGAGTCAGAAGGAGGCGCAGGTTTGACAGTGAGTCAGAAGGAGGCGCAGCTTTGACACTGAGTCAGAAGGAGGCGCAGGTTTGATAGTGAGTCAGAAGGAGGCTCAGGTTTGACAGTGAGACTCAGACATAGTTGAGACTCAGATCTGCAGTGAAAAGGCGGTATATAAATAAAGATTACTTACTACTACTACTAGATCCAGGACTGAGGCTGTAGATCCAGGACTGAGGCTGTACACCCAGGACTGAGGCTGTAGACCCAGTACTGAGGCTGTAGACCCAAGACTGAGGCTGGACTTAGGCTGTAGATCCAGGACTGAGGCTGTAGACCCAGGACTGAGGCTGTAGACCCAGGACTGAGGCTGGACTGAGGCTCTAGATCCAGGACTGAGGCTGTAGACCCAGGACTTAGGCTTCAGACCCAGGACTGAGGCTGTAGACCCAGGACTGAGGCTGTAGACCCATGACTGAGGCTGTAGACCCAGGACTGAGGCTGTAGACCCAGGACTGAGGCTGTAGACCCAGGACTGAGGCTGTAGATACAGGACTGAGGCTGTAGACACAGGACTGAGGCTGTAGACCCAGAACTGAGGCTGTAGACCCAGGACTGAGGCTGTAGATCCAGGACTGAGGCTGTAGACCCAGGACTGAGGCTGTAGACCCAGAACTGAGGCTGTAGACCCAGGACTGAGCCTGTAGACCCAGGACTGAGGCTGGACTGAGGTTGTAGATCCAGGACTGAGGCTTTGGACCCAGGACTGAGGCTGTAGACCCAGGACTGAGGCTGTAGACCCAAGACTGAAGCTGGACTGAGGTTGTAGACCCAGGACTGAGGCTTTGGAACCAGGACTGAGGCTTTGGACCCAGGACTGAGGCTGTAGACCCAGGACTGAGGCTGTAGACCCAAGACTGAGGCTGGACTTAGGCTGTAGACCCAGGACTGAGGCTGTAGACCCAGGACTGAGGCCGTAGACCCAGGACTGAGGCCCTAGACCCAGGACTGAGGCTGTAGATCCAGGACTGAGGCTGTAGATCCAGGACTGAGGCTGGACTGAGGCTCTAGACCCAGGACTGAGGCTTTAGACCCAGGACTGAGGCTGTAGACCCAGGACTGAGGCTGTAGACCCAGGACTGAGGCTGTAGATCCAGGACTGAGGCTGTAGACCCAGGACTGAGGCTGTAGACCCAGAACTGAGGCTGTAGACCCAGGACTGAGCCTGTAGACCCAGGACTGAGGCTGGACTGAGGTTGTAGATCCAGGACTGAGGCTTTGGACCCAGGACTGAGGCTGTAGACCCAGGACTGAGGCTGTAGACCCAAGACTGAGGCTGGACTGAGGTTGTAGACCCAGGACTGAGGCTTTGGACCCAGGACTGAGGCTTTGGACCCAGGACTGAGGCTTTGGACCCAGGACTGAGGCTGTAGACCCAGGACTGAGGCTGTAGACCCAAGACTGAGGCTGTAGGCTGTAGACCCAGGACTGAGGCTGTAGACCCAGGACTGAGGCTGTAGACCCAAGACTGAGGCTGGACTTAGGCTGTAGACCCAGGACTGAGGCTGTAGACCCAGGACTGAGGCCGTAAACCCAGGACTGAGGCCCTAGACCCAGGACTGAGGCTGTAGATCCAGGACTGAGGCTGTAGATCCAGGACTGAGGCTGTAGACCCAGGACTGAGGCTGGACTGAGGCTCTAGACCCAGGACTGAGGCTTTAGACCCAGGACTGAGGCTGTAGACCCAGGACTGAGGCTGTAGACCCAGGACTGAGGCTGGACTGAGGCTGTAGACCCAAGGACTTAGGCTGTAGACCCAGGACTGAGGCCGTAGATCCAGGACTGAGATCTGTCTCAGACTCTGTGTCCAGAGTGTGATGAAGTCCTCTCTGTCTCAGACTCTGTGTCCAGAGTGTGATGAAGACCTCTGTGTCTCAGACTCTGTGTCCAGAGTGTGATGAAGACCTCTCTGTCTCAGACTCTGTGCGGCTGGTTGGAGGCTCTGGTCTCTGCTCTGGATCACTGCAGATATGGGACCAGTCCTGGATCTCGGTCTGTGAAGGGGCCTTGGACCTGAGGGGAGCAGAGGTGCTGTGCAGGGAGCTGGGCTGCAGGGGTCCTTCTGTCCTCCAGGGGGAGCTCTCTCCTCTGGGGCAGACGTTCCACTGTGAGGGCCATGAGTCTGCTCTGGTGGACTGTCCCCGCTCCAGACCCAAGACCTGTCCCTCTGGACCCAGTGAGGACGTCATCTGCTCAGGTGAGGGGCGGGGCTAAGGTGGGCGGGGCTTTAGTACAATGTAATTCAATCAATCCATGAAAGCATAACAAAATCCTAAAGCAAGGACAGAAAACAAATAAGAAGAATAATAATCAGACTTTTTTCCAAAGAGAAGGCATCAAGAATCTTCACCTTTTTTGGAGCTTTTTTTGCTCTGCTTCAACTGAACATTCTGCTAAATTGTGAAAGTGTTCAACATAATAAAGACGCTCACAGTATTTAAATATTTCTCACTTGACTTAAATATCAAAAGTGAAACAGTTTCTTTATGTTATAAGTCTCCAAAGAACCCTAATGATATTGACAAAAGACATGACTTAATGTTCAGTTTAAATGTCTATAAGTGTGTGCGGACTGGGTCGCCGCCTTCGACTGCCGCCCAGTCCTCTCTGCACCGTTTCGCCACCACGGACCCCTCTGCAGGTGGAGGGCCCACAGGAGGGACTGCCCACGTCACCCCTTTGGGCTGAGCCCGGCCGGGCCCCGTGGGCTAAGGCCCAGCCACCAGGCGCTCGCATACGAGCCCCGACCCCAGGCCTGGCTCCAGGGTGGGGCCCCGGCTGCGCCATGCCGGGCGACGTCACTGCTCTTGAATTAGTGCTGTCCATGGTGTCTTCGGACTGCGCTTCATCTGACTTGTCACCCGAGACCTGTCTGCCATGGGAGACCCTACCAGGGGCATGAAGCCCCAGACAGCATAGCTCCCAGGATCATCCGAGTACTCAAACTCCCCCACCACGTTAAGGTGGCAGTCCAGGAGGGACCAGCTCTACACTCTCCATCGGATACTCGAGGGTTCATGGGGGTTCGCCCAACCTGTCCACATGTGCTTTGTGGATTTGGAGAAGGCGTTTGACCGTGTTCCCCGGGGGGTTCTCTGGAGGGTTCTCCGGGAGTACGGGGTCCGGGGTCCTCTGCTGAGGGCTGTTTGGTCCCTGTATGACCGGAGCCAGAGCTGTGTTCGCATTGCCGGCAGTAAGTCAGACCTGTTCCTGGTGAATGTTGGCCTTTGACAGGGCTGCCCTTTGTCATAGGTTCTGTTCACTGTGTTTATGGACAGAATTTCTAGGCGCAGCCAGGGGCCGGAGGGGGTCCGGTTCGGAGACCACAGGATCTAATCTCTGCTTTTTGCGAACGATGTTGTCCTGTTGGCTCCAACGAACCAGGACCTGCAGAATGCACTGGAGCGGTTTGCAGCCGAGTGTGAAGCGGCTGGGATGAGAATCAGCACTTCCAAATCCGATATCTGATATTTATATTCTTTTTTAATTCTCTGAGAATATTCTAATAAATGTCCTTCTTAACAATATGGTTGATGAATATATTCTAATAACAATATGGTTGATGAATATATTCTAATAACAATATGGTTGATGAATATATTCTAATAACAATATGGTTGATGAATACTTCTCTCAGAGTCAGGGCTTTCCATCAGTGAGAACATCAGAGTTGATATGATCTGCTGCAAAACACTTTCAGCAGTTTATCTGAAACAAAACCAAGTCTCCAGATTCTTTCAGGAACTTTGAACCATATTTGATTTGGTTAAATAAGTAAAACAAAAACACCTCTTTTGAGAATATGTAACTTTGTGACTTTGTGTTTTTGTACATTTTTAAACTAATGAGACTTTTATCAAAAACACAGAGCTTCTAAATGTAGTAATAGAATGATACTAGTTGTTTTTAATTCCAGATAAATAGAAATATGTTTTGTTCGTAATACTTAGAGAAGCTCTGAGTTGGGAGAGACTTTAATAAATGCACAGAATGAGGCAGAAATATTGTATTTATGAATTCTATTTGTTATATAAAGTTAGAGTTGTGCTCTTCCAAGGTTGCAACGTCTTTCCTCTTGTTTTAGTTTTTTGATTCCGAGGATATTTCCAGATCCATGTGTCTGTCTGTGTGTGTGACAAACACAGACACACACACAGACACAGACACACACACACACACACACTGTGTCTCAGTGAGCAGCAGACGAGGACAGAGACAGGACTGACCTCACTGTACAGAGACCAGAGTGTGTGTCTGTGTGTATGTGTGTGCGTCACTTTGTGTGTGTGTGTGCCTGTGTGCGCGTGTGTCAGTGTGTGTGTGCGTGTTTCTGTGCTTATTTTTGTGTGGGCCCGTGTTTGTTTATGTGTGTATCTGTGTGTGTGCCTGTGTGTGTGTGAGTCAGTTTGTGTAGGTGTGTGTGCGTGTTTGTGTATATCTGTGTGTGTGTGTGTATGTCTCTGTGTGTGTACGTGTTTGTGTATGAATGTCTGTGTGTATGTGTTTGTTTGTGTGTGTCTTCATGTGTTTGTGTAAGTGTGTGTGTTTGTGTGTGTGTTAAAATAAAGTGTAAATAAGTGTATTGTCCGTTGCTCTATAATAGAACCAAATGTTGTCATGTTTGTGTGTCTCACTTGTGCGTCTGCTCTTGGTGTCTGTGTCCAATCCAGTTTTCTCAAATGTGTGTGTGATGTTTGTGTGTCTGAAGAGTTGTTGTGTTGCTCAGAGCCGCTCAGGCTGGTGGGAGGGGCCAGTCGCTGCGCCGGGACAGTGGAGGTCAGACTCAGAGGAGAGTGGAGACGAGTGATGAAGGCTGATAGAAGCTGGACCGAGGAGGACTCAGCTGCTGTGTGCAGAGACCTGGACTGTGGGTCTGCTGTTTCTGGACGCCAGAGAGATGGTTTTCCACACAGTCGTGTGTGGAGGATCTTACCTGTCTGCATGAAGAGGAGGAAGACTAAAGTTAGAGACTGTGTTTATGACTACACTTACTACTACTGGTCTGGTGCGGAGGTGATGTGTTCAGGTAAAAGTCAAAGTCTAACTTAAATCTCTGCTGGAGCTGATGTCTCTGTCTCTGCAGACTTACTGAACCGTCCAGTCCTGTCCCTCTCTGTGACTGTGGGGGCCTCCCAGGTCCAGGTCTCCCAGGTCCAGGACTCCCAGGTCCAGGACTCCCAGGTCCAGGACTCCCAGGTCGAGGACTCCCAGGTCCAGGTCTCCCAGGTCCAGGACTCCCAGGTCCAGGACTCCCAGGTCCAGGACTCCCAGGTCCAGGACTCCCAGGTCCAGGACTCCCAGGTCCAGGTCTCCCAGGTCGGGGTGCAGGTGGTGCGTGTGCAGTTGGGGTCTCAGTTCTCGGTCCAGTGCTCGGTGAAGCCTCAGTTCCCAGGAGGCTCCTTCCAGCTGCTCTCTCCCTCTGGGAACCACACCCTGCCTGCTGTCAATCACTCTGCACACTTCCTGTTCAATCACACTGGCCCCGCCCACAAAGGAGACTACACCTGTGTTTACCACCTACAGGTGTTCAACCACAGCTTCACCTCCGAGAGCGAGAGACTGGAGCTGAGGCTGGGAGGTACGTGATACTGCTACTGCTACTGCTACTGCTACTGCTGCTGCTGCTTCTGCTGATACTGCTGCTTCTGCTGACTGCTGCTACTACTGCTATGGCTACTACTGCTACTACTGCTGCTGCTACTACTACTACTGCTAATACTGCTGCATCAACTGCTGCTGCTACTTCTGCTGCTGCTGCTACTGCTGCTACTAGTACTACTACTATTACTACTAATACTTCTGGCACTGCTATTACTGCTCAAGTTCTCAAGCTTCATGAAACAAAGAGGAAACTGCTTTCTCCTTTTCTTTGACTTTTGCTGCAGACAGAGTGTGTGATGTCACATGCTGGAGACAGGGTGTGTGATGTCACATGATGTCACATACTGGAGACAGAGTGTGTGATGTCACATGATGTCACATACTGGAGACAGAGTGTGTGATGTCACATGATGTCACATACTGGAGACAGAGTGTGTGATGTCACATACTGGAGACAGAGTGTGTGATGTCACATGATGTCACATACTGGAGACAGAGAGTGTGATGTCACATACTGGAGACAGAGTGTGTGATGTCACATGATGTCACATACTGGAGACAGAGTGTGTGATGTCACATGATGTCACATACTGGAGACAGAGTGTGTGATGTCACATGATGTCACATACTGGAGACAGAGAGTGTGATGTCACATACTGGAGACAGAGAGTGTGATGTCACATACTGGAGACAGAGTGTGTGATGTCACATGATGTCACATACTGGAGACAGAGTGTGTGATGTCACATGATGTCACATACTGGAGACAGAGTGTGTGATGTCACATGATGTCACATACTGGAGACAGAGAGTGTGATGTCACATACTGGAGACAGAGTGTGTGATGTCACATACTGGAGACAGAGAGTGTGATGTCACATGATGTCACATACTGGAGACAGAGTGTGTGATGTCACATACTGGAGACAGAGAGTGTGATGTCACATACTGGAGACAGAGTGTGTGATGTCACATGATGTCACATACTGCAGACAGAGAGTGTGATGTCACATACTGGAGACAGAGAGTGTGATGTCACATACTGGAGACAGAGTGTGTGATGTCACATGATGTCACATACTGCAGACAGAGAGTGTGTGATGTCACATGATGTCACATACTGGAGACAGAGTGTGTGTTGTCACATACTGGAGACAGAGAGTGTGATGTCACATACTGGAGACAGAGTGTGTGATGTCACATGATGTCACATACTGGAGACAGAGTGTGTGATGTCACATGATGTCACATACTGGAGACAGAGTGTGTGATGTCACATACTGGAGACAGAGTGTGTGATGTCACATACTGGAGACAGAGTGTGTGATGTCACATGATGTCACATACTGGAGACAGAGTGTGTGATGTCACATGATGTCACATACTGGAGACAGAGTGTGTGATGTCACATACTGGAGACAGAGTGTGTGATGTCACATACTGGAGACAGAGTGTGTGATGTCACATGATGTCACATACTGGAGACAGAGTGTGTGATGTCACATGATGTCACATACTGCAGACAGAGTGTGTGATGTCACATACTGCAGACAGAGTGTGTGATGTCACATACTGCAGACAGAGTGTGTGATGTCACATGATGTCACATACTGCAGACAGAGTGTGTGATGTCACATACTGCAGACAGAGTGTGTGATGTCACATACTGCAGACAGAGTGTGTGATGTCACATACTGGAGACAGAGTGTGTGATGTCACATACTGGAGACAGAGTGTGTGATGTCACATACTGGGTGATCTATGTCTCTGTGATTATGATTACAATGCTAACCTGCTAGCTAAATGAAGCACGATCAGTGGGGGCGGGTCCCAGCGCAAAAGTGGCCAAAATGACGTGCGCTGACATGCTGCAGTACCACCCCGGGCCTGTGGGGGTGGACCCGGTAGAAGAATTAGCCAATGCTAACATATAGCATTAGCAGACCTCTCAAAAACGTCTTTACAGGATGGACCAAAGTTGTCTCTTGGCCCAAAGCTCTGTTCCACATGTGTGTCAATGCTGAGGGGGGTGTTTTGGTCCACTCTAGTTTAGTTGCTGTGAATTTTTGAAGTCTCTCGTTCAAATGAATGGAGCTCTCTCCGGCTGACGCATGCGCAGATGCGTTTTTTCACCATTTTCTTGTGGGCGGGACCACTCGCGGCCATTTTGAAAAGCTCCAGTAGAGCAATATTTTTGGCCCATTGGTTAGAACTGCGGAGATAGGCGTGACTCTGTCCGTTAATATATACAGTCTATGAGCACGATAGGGAAGTGCTCATAGAGGAAGTTTTGCTCCAACTCTCTCTGGCTCCTATTGGCTTCCACTAAAAGTAAACTCAGGAACTGTTTTGGGATAAAACATCTGTGTTTCATCGTTCTCTGGGATACTAGTGAAGTGATGTTTTCTTTGTGAATCCAGGTTCTTTTGAAGTACTTGTACTTGTACTTGAACTTGTACTTGATCAAACCTGTTTTCTCTGTTTTTGCAGTTTTAACGTCTGACCTGATCATCAGATTCCTGATTATTCTACTGATAATCCTCCTGTTCACCCTGCCACAGTGCTACTTTTACTACAAGGTATTAATACTACTACTACTACTACTGCTATTACTGCTACTACTGTTACTGCTACTACTTTTGCTGCTGCTACTACTACCACTACTGCTACTACTGCTACTGCTACTACTACTACTGCTATTACTACTACTGCTACTACTACTGCTATTACTGCTATTACCCGGAGCCACTGTACCAGACCTGCTCATACGTCTCCCTCCTCTGCTTCAGTCCCTGCCTGATACCATTTCAAAGGTAATCGTGCATGTGGGGATCAACGACATGAAGCTGCAGCAGTCCGAGGTCACAAAGAAGCATTTTATGGATCTATTCCGTCTTCTCCAGTCCTCTGGGTTGTGTGTTTTTATCTCTGGTCCAGTCCCGACTGTAAACCGGGGAGACTGCTTGTACAGTCGCGTTGTGGCGCTGAATATGTGGCTCCAGTCTACATGCAGCACTTTTAACTTTGTTTTTGTGAACAACTTTGGCCTGTTCTGGAAGCGTCACGTGGCCTATCGTCCAGACGGTCTGCACCCGAACAGATACGGCACCAGTTTGTTGATGGACTTTTTACGCCATGTTGTTCAGTGCTCCCCGAGGGGGGCGTGACTGTTTACATCCGAGGCCTCTCGGCCCCCACTACCACCTTCCTCCTCCACTCCAGCACCGGGTGAGTACTGTGGTGCAAACACTGACCCCTGTCCGTCTGGCAGTGTAATACCAGTCCTGCCACTGAACGGCACTTACTCAGTCATGCATCTGGAACTTAACAAAGTAAAACAGAGTTCACTTTTTAAACCAATAGAGACAGTGTGTGTTCCTCGCACCGGCTCAGAAATGTGTTTTAATTTGAATAAACACAAATATAACAGAAGGACAGCAGTTAGACGGTCCAACTCAGGAAATCTAATTCCAATTCTTTGTAGTCAATCAACTAAACCCACTGACACTGACATTATTTTTAACCTTGCTCTGCTTAATGTCAGATCACTATGCAATAAATCCTTTTTAATTAATAATTTTATCTGTTCTTATGATCTTGACTTTATGTTTATGACTGAAACTTGGCTTGACCATAATACAGAAAATGCAGTTTTAATAGAAACAACACCACCAAATTTCAAATTTGAATCAGAAATTCGAGAAAATAAAAGAGGAGGAGGCACAGCAGCAGTTTTTAAAGATTGTATTGTCTCCCATAGAGTACCTCTTGGGAAATTTTCCTCATTTGAGTATGTCTCTTTTAAAATAGAACAAAAACAATCTTCTATTCTTATTATTGTTGTGTACAAGCCGCCACAGTCATGTCATAGTTTCACTGATCATTTCACCGAGTTGCTTTCAGTTGTGTGCACAGACTTTGATAGTTTAGTCGTCATAGGTGATTTTAATATACATGTAGATAACGTTAATGATAGATACGCGAAAGAGCTGAGCTCTGTGCTGGAAACCTTTGGTCTCACTCAGCATGTGAGTGGCCCCACCCATAGCAGAGGACACACTCTCGATCTGCTAATTACTAAAGGGGTTAATATCTCAAATGTAAATGTGGCCAATGTTGCTCTGTCAGATCATTTCTGTGTATTTTTTGATATGTGTCTCAATAGTAAAGCACGAGCTGAATCCTCAATTGTTAGAAGAAGAAGACACATAAACAAAAATACAGGTGAACTTTTCATGGGGATGATAAACTTTGATAACACGTTGTGTTCTACTGTGGATGAATTACTTAACTCTGTCACCTCTAGTGTTTTGGATGTTCTGGACACGATTGCTCCTGTAAAGGTCAAAATTGTTACAAATAAGCAAAAGGCGCCATGGACAAAAGCAGACTCTGTCAGGGCACAGAAGAGAGAGTGCCGGAGAGCCGAGCGGAAGTGGCGAAAGTCAAATCTCCAAGTTGACCATGAGATCTTCAAAGATGCATTGTGCAAGTTCAACAGTGTGCTACGTAGAACGAGGGAAACTTATTTTTCCGAAACAATCGAAGGTTGTAGTGGCAATCTACGCGTTCTGTTCTCAACGGTAAATAAATTGACAAATCCCCCTGTTAAGATGCCATCAGAGCTTACCTCCAAAACCAAATGTAATGAGTTTGCAGAGTTTTTTAATGACAAAGTCCAAGGCATCAAAAATGCCATCACCTCCACAGTAGAAATTACAATCCAACAGCCAGTGAAGCTTTTTGGGCTGACACACTTTACACCAGTACAAAATGAAACTGTCCAAATGATAATTACAAGTCTGAGTTCTTCTACATGTAGCCTGGATGTATTACCTCCTAGATTTCTTAAATCTGTTCTGAGCAGTCTTTTACCTTCACTCACGCATATAGTAAATATGTCTCTTGAATCTGGAACATTCCCAATGGCCCTGAAAACGGCAGTCATCAGACCCCTCCTAAAAAAGAGGAGTCTGGATGCCTTG